CCTCACCTGGCTCACGGAACCCAAATAGCCTGGGTATTGTACATTCATTTCCCTCCAATTCTGCAGCCTGAGTAAAACCTGTTCTTGTGCTCTTATTTGAAAAGGGGTTTGGAAACACAAAGCTGTGTCTAACAATACGAACTTTACCTGAAAATACGGGAACATATTTCAAAAAGAAAAGTTTACAGGACCACAGAAACAAACCTCTCTGTTAATAACAATATTTGTTTCCATCGCTGAACGTGTTCCTCCCTCATCGACAGAGTCTGTGTCTCACCAGCACGGGGCTGGAAGCAAAAAAAGCCATAAACCCCTTAACAGCATCTGCATTTGGGTACAAGGCAGCGTCAAAAAAATTAAATAAATTAAAAAAAAAAATTAACATGCAAAAGCCATGGGGAAGGCATTCTACCCGAGACTGTCTCCTTCCCTCCAGATTTCACCAGTTGTTTGGACTGACAGAAATATAACCATCCACTGCATTGGAAATGAGCCTTGCCCTTTTCTTTCTATTTTTTTTTTCTTTTGTATCTACTATTTTTAAACACCAGATTTTTTAATTATTTTTTTTTCAAAGGACTCTGTCTCTCCAGCCACACACAACATCTGTGCTCACTGTGCTACACACTAACACTCCTCGGCATCACCATTTGGTGTATATAATCATTTTCCCTCTTAAAATATCAATAATCTTTCCTGTGCTGTTTAATTCCACCAGTGAAAGCTGCAACAACAGTCAGAACAGATCAGATTTTACAGAAGTAGAAGTTCTGACACCTTGGAAATGAAGCAATGTTTTGAGTTGTAAATTGGTATTTATGCTCGAAGAACAGAACAGAATGACAAATTCATCAATAAACCCTTCTTGTGTTTTTCCCTTCCTTGTTCTACATGAGGCAGGAATCTTTCACCTGAGCTCAAACACAGTCGATGTCACAGCAGGTCCCACCACGCTGCTGAACAGCTCAAGTCACTGGTCCTAACTTATTTATTATTTATTTTCTTCACTAATCTGCTGAAAAAGAGCCCTTTCACCCTACAGACAAGCTAGTGGAATGCAAAACAAATGTCATCGTTTCACTTTGTGTTTGAGCACTTTTAAATACACTCCCAGGACTGTGAAGGTACCAAAACCTGCCATATTCTATAGATCACCAGTGTCTGTCCAAAACTGGAACCAGTATGAAGCACTTCACAGCACAAGCCACCACCTACCAGACAACACGATTTATTAGAGGAACCTTGTTTTTATTGATACGGGAGAGAGGAGAGCTGTCCTCTAGCTTTTAACGAAATTATTAGCTTGGGTGATTAATCAAGATGTCTTGGAGTTTTCCAGCTTCATACTGCTGATATTTCTGTCTGGCCAAGTATTGGTACCACTGAAATAACAGGAGCGAACCAACCACCCACGGGAGGAGGCTGGTGACAATTCCTCACCCTCATCATGACCTCGGGAAGTGGCAGATTTCATAGACTCACAGAATCCCAGACTGGTTTGGGTTCTGGTTGTCTGTTCCTTTTGTGATACAATCCCCAACCCAGAACACCAGCTTTCCCTCTCACTCTTTGTTGAAGAAGACAGATCAGCTTCTTTTAAATACTCAATGTATTTTTGCAAATCTCAACGCAGTGCATGCATGCAGGGTTGAACTTTCTGAGCAACGTTTTATTCCAAGGTTAGAAAAGAGAATGAACAAGGCAGTGTGGGTAGGTGTGCTCGGGTGTGCACCCCAACCTTCCCAGACTGAACTCTTGGTAATAAACTCCTATGTCTAAAGGACACCCAGTCCAAAAGGCCACGTACTGGAGTAATTCAGAGTTGTACAGAAAACCATTAACAACGAGAACAAACGCACCAATGTATTTTTGTAAGAGCTACACCAACAGCCAGATACTGCTCATCTGGAACAAGCGAGGACAGCCCGAAGCACTGGAATGTTTTTCAGCAGAGGGACTCGGCGACACGTCTCCGTTGGCCGTGGTTGCCAGCAGATGCTGTGTTGGAGCTCACAGTCCACCACCGCTCCGGTCCACCGAAATCACCAGCCTCTGACGCAGGTTCTCCTCAGCAGTCTTCATCAGCACGGCCAGCCGGCTTCCAGAGACGTGGCCCTTCTGAATCGCACTCATGAGCTTAAGACACAAGAGGGAGAACAGCCTGGTAACTCATTTGCAAGACAAAGAATGAAGGTGGACAGTACAGCCCCTCACGGAAAGGTCTCACCAGAGGGACAGCAGAGTAACTGCAACCACCACAGCCCCTGAGCAGCCTCCAGCAACAGAACCAGGGACAGTGAATACAAACTGGATGGGAGTAGATCGAGATGAGATCTCAGGAAGAAATTCTTGGCTGTGAGGGTGGTCAGACAGTGTCCCAGGTTGGCCAGAGAAGCTGTGGCTGCTCCTCCCTGGAAGTGTTGAAGGCCAGGTTGGATGAGGCTTTGAGCAACCCGGTCTAGTGGAAGGTGTCCCTGCTGCTGGCAGGGGGGTTGGGACTGCCAACCCAAACCAGTCTGGGATTCTATGATATGGCATGTGGGGCGCAGGGCACCAGCAGTCGTGCAGCTCGGTGCTGTTAACCTGGCATGAGAGGTGTGTGGACACTGCTGGTGTCCTGCCCCTGGGCCACTGATGAGGGACACGGACACAGCTCCAGTCTAAACAACATCAGAGTTCAGTGTTTTGTCCAAGAGCCATCAGCAAGCATTAATGAACATACAGAGCTGATTTTTCCATATATAAAGCCAAACTGCTGTGTGGTTTCAAAGACTCACCTCAAAGCTCATTTACATTTTCCAGAAATATCAAGGAAGGTTTTGGCAAGGCACGGGACAGGTGGCACCAGGAGCAGAAGGATCCATTTGGAAGTAACAGCGCAGGCCACCAGCAAGACCAGGGTTTTTCAGTGACATTTAAGAACGTAGGAGAACCCATCTCCCTCAGAGAGGCCTTTTTTTTTTTTAAATATCAGAAGGATGTAGCTAACAGAACATCATTCCTGATCTACCACTAACCCTGGACCATACCACTTTTCATTCACATGCCCTCCTTTGTAGAGACAGTGTACTTGACTTCCACAATTCTTTCAAATCCAAATTCCTTTATAGACTTTTAAAACTAATTTGCCTTTAAGTCCTTGAAACTGGACTCAGCTCTATCTTAACGAACACACACTAGTGCTAAGATTTTAGTTAATTCTTTTTTATCCCACGGATAAAGCGAGTATTAGACTCGAAATTACATGCAGTCAGCTTGTCAAAGACCACTATGGAAAGCAATTGGCACACAAAATGCAATTTCTTACTCCCGTTGAGTGCTAAGAACCCTTCAGATTTCTTCCCCTCTATAGGAAAATCTATTAATTACATCTGCAGCTGGAGCTATGCAAGTGTGGTATCAACCCTGTCAAAGCTGGAAGGAGCACCCAGGAGGGGAAGGGATGGAAGGGAACCCTGTGCTCTACAGACCCAGCCAAGGCTGGAAAAACCTCCCTGCACCTGAAGGCGTTTTAATTGCCTCGTGCAGCCCGGCAGCAAGGCAGATGAGGAGCTGGGAAGCAGAGGAGCAGCAGCAGGAGGAGTAGCAGCTACAGCTAGCAAGGGAAGCCCACCATCACCCTCCTCACCTCCCTCCCTGCTTCCCAAGGGAGGCCCTAAGGGGAGAGGCATCACCCCTGCACCCATTCACCTGCTTGACTACCAGTCTTGTGTCTGCCTGGTCTGACTTCACTGCAGGCTCCTTGGGGAAGCGACCACAAGAAAGATGACTGGTCCTCTGGCACTGCCATGAAAACAAGTGTTTCTGGTACATGGGTCTGTCAGAACCCCAAAGGAAATCTGCTGTTGGGGGAAAAAAAAGCTTCTTCCAGATTTAACATGGGGGGGGTTTTTTTTGGCCTTTACAAACCACAGCTTCCAAGGTCCCCTCTCCTTTCCTGAGCATAAATGACAGCAGCACCAGGCTCCTGTATGCAAGTCTTTGGAAAAACAGTCACTGCCCTGAGACAGCTCCGTGTGCACCCGCAGACTCTGAGCTCTGCCTCCCCACCAGGGTGGAACAGCCTGTATGCATCAAACACTGGTCAGCCTGGTCTGCCTTCCCTCTGGGAAACACCTGAGGTGTCAGTGTCTGCCGGGACCCTTCTCACCAGACCATGATCTGAGTGACGTTGCCAACGTGCAGCTGGGCAAGTGAAAGCCCTTGGCAGGGCTCTGCTCCCCACCTGGAGAACTACACAGCCACCCTGCTACAACCTGCTCCTATATTCTAATATCAACGTCCACAAATATTTGCACAGGGCTTTCCACCAAGCATTCTGCGGCAAAACACAATTACTTCAAAGTTTTCAGAAAGCAAACACAAAAGTACTGGGAACTGACTTAACAGATCCATTAAAAAAAAAATTAAACAAACATTTAATGTATTTTGTTCCTTCCATGGCAACCTGCTGTTAATTTTATGACCAGGTTTCTTCCTCAGCCCCTGGTTCTGCAGCCTCTCCCCGCCTGCTGCTCTCTGCCTCTGCAGGAAGGAGGTGCACAGGCTCCAGGGATGTCCCCACAGCACCCATCACCACTGTTAAATATTTAGATTGTGCTGTGAAATGCACAGGAGAAGTCAGCAGCCAGAGTTAGACAGTTTCACAAAAGTAACTGGGAAATGATGCCAAAACAGTGACTTGCCTTTTATATTTGATATATTTCAAAATATATTTCTATTTTATATGATGACTCAGGGCAGGCAACCCCTAATGAGAAGAAAATCACCACAAAATCCACAGAAGACATAATTATTAGTTGTTTCACATTCTTAACTACAGTGTATCCAAACTAACCAAATTACAGTTTAACACAGCCCTTAAAGTAAAGGGTGGGTTCCTCCCCCACCAATTAAAAGGTTTCAGATGCAGAAGGATGTGAGAGGGAGACCCTGTTCAGCAGCCAGACAAACAGCTCTGATTTTCTCCTATATCTGAGTACATAAAGCATAAACTCCCCAAACCCTTGTTTCTTCTTTTGCCCACTACGGTTTGGTGGTTTGGGTTTCCCCCACCCCTCTCTTCCCCCAGGGATTTCAGTTCCCCAGCTAAATTGCTGCATTTCAGGCCAGTAAATAGTCCTTTTTTCTAATGCTGGACACAACCTGTGAAAATTTTCTGCATTTAGATTCAACAACGCTGCTCTTATCTACAGCTCATCTCGAGAGAGACAATTACCATTTCCTTTGCCTTGATCTTGTTTGTTTAACTTGACACAGTGAAGAAAGGGCTGACATTGACCAAAATCCCCAGCATTAATTTATCTCATGTTCGGCATTCATCATTGCCACCATGCAGGAAAGACACGGCAGGCACTAGAAATACCACACCACAGAAACAAAGCTGCCTGGCAAACTGCATGTGTAAGAGGAGCTGGGCAAAGAAACACCCTCCATTTTATTTTAAAGCCCTGCAAAAAGCAGAGGTATGGGCTGTCAATACAACAGCTTTCATGCAAACTGAGACAAGGCTAGCCAATCCAGGTGAATTAAAACGGGATAATATGGACTGGATGTGCTTGAACCACCAGCTCATTCTTTAAAATATTCAGAATAGTTTAGAAACTACTAATCTAACTGCTAATAGTTTAGAAACTACTACTACTTGGGGATTGGACTAGGTGATCTTTCGAGGTCCCTTCCAATCCCTGACATTCTGTGATTCTGTAATCACTTAACAGACCCAGACAAACATCAGTGTGCACAACTGTGCCATGTACGTTCCAACAGACAATTGTATCATTTGGAATGTATTTAAACAGTCTTTCTACATTAAAAAAAAGCCAAATTCGGGTCTGTACTGTGGTGTACTTTGTAAATTGGACCTGTTCTTTGGGTCTCACTGTTTCTGCAGATGAGAAAAAATAATCCTTGAATCTTACAGTTGCCTGAGGATGGCTCTGTGAGTCACTTCTCTCATGATCTGACAAATAGCATCAGCACTCAGCACTCACCCAAGTAACACTCACCTCGTCTCCAACCCAGCCCTTCAGCAAAGGGGGAAAAAAGTTAAATACCTATGTCTCTGTGCATCAACACCTACCTGTAAAAACTCATTGAGCTCAACCTGCCCGTTTTTGTTCAGATCCACTTCATTTAGAATATCATGAAGTGTATTTTCAGCAATTTGCACGTTGATGCTCTAGACAACAACAAAAAAAAAAGCAGAGAAGTTTGTCAGCTGGATTGCTCAGCAGTGTTTGTGCTGCACTCTGAAATTCAGATCAGAGGCTTCAAAAGGAAACTAAAAGAACATAAGGAAACATTACCTCCAAGACACGCTGCACATCCAGGATAGTAATAAACCCTTTCTTGTCCTTGTCAAACATGTGGAATCGCTTCTTGTACCTGCAAGATAAGGATTATCAGTGGCAAAAACTGCACTCGGAGAGTGACAGGTATTAATTCCTAGCAGCATAGGGAACTCTTTTACTTTACTTACCTTTCAATATCTGAAGGCACTAGAGTGATTTCAGAGCTGTCTGTTAATTGATCTGATTTTACTTTGTAGCCCATTTCATAATAGAGAAACTTTTTAGCAGCTTCAAGTTCTTCCTACAACAACAAAAAAAGAGAAAAACTGTATATCTGAGGAACAGCAAATTCTTACACAATTATTTTTAATGTAGTATTTATTTGCTTCTTCCACTTCACTAGAATTTATCTAAGGTCCAATAATTAAGCAGATGGTAGCTGAAAAGTATTTAAAAAATAAGTTAAGTGAAGGCCTGAAAGTGTTTATGCAGTAATTAGAAGTCTTGAAAAGAGGTATCAAGTCTAGTAGAGACTTCCAATTACTGTGTAAATGCTTTTAGGACCACACCACCCCTCCAGTCACACATGGTGACGCATCGACCCATTTCATGACGAACAGCACTGGCAGATCAGCCCTACAAAATGCCATTTAGCTCACAACTGATATCTTAGTACAACAATTTATACATAAACGTCTAAAATCAGTAAAAAAATTGGGAGGCTCAACATCAGACAGGTTCTTTATGTTTTAAACTAGTTTTCTTGATGGTAGTAAAATAACTTTATTACCTGAAAGTTCAGCGTCAGGTCTTCCACTGCCAGTTCTTTAATAAGTGATAAACACCTGACACGCACCAAGTACTGTACAACAGAGTTCTTTCTGCACGAAACATGGTTCTAAGAGCAACACAAGCATCTGCCACGTGGGCACTGCTACTAAACAGTCCTCACTGCAGTTAAACAGGGGCAGGAGTGCTAAGGAACAGTTAAGAGACTCCTGGGCACGTACATATAAACCACATCATCTAGCACAGACTTGTTTGTGAAGGTGTTTTAGGGGATGAGCTAAACTATAGCAGACTGCTCTGACATACTTCAGTATAAGAACACAAATTAGCCTTAAAGTCCCAAACCAACAAAGACTTTTTAAAATGGTTTTACTAGAAGATCTAAAATAAAGAATGCTCTTCTGGATAGGCATTGAATCGTCTCGTCCATCAAGATGAAATACACCATGTGCAAGATTGCTGTAAAGCTGTAGCGCTTCAAAATGGCCCAAGACTGATTACAGAAGAGACTCTCAAAAACTTAAAAGAGTTTTTAGCCTCACTTGAAAGAAAAGGAGACTTTTCCAAAAGAAACCCCAGTGGACACCCAGGGAAGGCAGAGCCTGCCTTGCTGGCATTAGTGAGCTCACAGGCAGCTCTGCAAGTCTTACAGGTTGGATGAGGCTTTGAGCAACCTGGTCTAGTGGAAGGTGTCCCTGCTGCTGGCAGGGGGGTTGGGACTGGATGATCTTTAAGGTCCCTTCCAACCCAAACCATTCTATGATTCAAGTGCATCAGTGCTTGTTCATCTTCCTTCCCGCAGGTTAGGGTGAGAACGGGCACCCAACCACGGGCTGCTGGATCTAAGGCTGTCCATGCAACCCACCCTAACACCTCACTGGTTTCAAATTCTTTGCTCTGAAAGCTTCCTATTTTCTCATCTATTGTTCTGGAAGAATTGACATAGCTTTGTTTAACATGGTCAATTATTATATGAGCAAACCTCATGGGGTAAGGGTAAACCCCATGAGGGTAAACCTCTCACTACTGTGAGACACCTCCAACTTCAGTCAAACACCTCCAACCGTGCACTTGCTCAAAATACACAAGCAACACAGCTCACAGCTGTGACAGGCTCACTGCAGGGGGTCAGACTGGATGACCTTTAAAGGTCCCTTCCCACCCAAACCATTCCACGATTCTACGATGGTATCCCTTTCTTTATGCTTCCTGCAGGGCCCTCTGGCTAGAGCAGGACTCAAATGAGCTTCTTCCAGAAAGGCAGTCAAATTTGTATCTGGCCAAAAGGTTTCATGAACAGCCCAAGGGAAACTTCTCATCCTCTTTGGAGTGGAAGAGCTAGGTGACCATTCATTCACACGTTCTGTTTGCTTCAGAGTGAAAGGAGTCCCAAACCATGGGTCACAGAATCCCAGACTGGTTTGGGTTGGAAGGGACCTTAAAGCTCATCCAGTTCCAAGCCCCCTGCCACGAGCAGGGACACCTTCCACTGTCCCATCTGGGTACAGCACTCCACGTGCTGCCTTTCCTCCACCATTCTCTGGACAGTGCTACAAGCACAGCCTCCAGGACTCTGGGCATTTCTCTCTTTATGAGAGATAATCAGTAACTTACGCAACGTGACAGTTCAGAAGGGGCCCGGATTCACGTCAGCACGTGGGATGTCTACCTCTAAGCTAGTGATCCCAGGTACTCCTGACAGCTTGTGGAGCTCTGGAGAGGGCTGTAGGTTGCAATTCCATGCATGCACAGCAGATGCCTTCACTAGGGTAAGTCATCCCACCAGTTTTTTTACAGAGCAGGAGTACAGAGACCAGCTTAGCTAGAGACAGCCTGTGACCACCATCACACCTGGGTGAGACAAGTCCCACACTGTACCCACTGGGGGCAAAGGAAGCTAACAGTGACCTTCAACACTAATTTAGGCCAGGGAATGGTACAAACTCGGTATCACAACTCCTCAAAAGACACAGTAGACAAAAAGAAGTGACAGAGATTACAAGACCCTCCTTTTCCAAGGCAGATCTGTTGAAAGTGTCGGTGAATGAAGTATTTGAAGAGGAATAGGATAGTAATGCCAAGTCTGCTTTCATTTTTGAAGCTGGGGAACAAGAGGATACAGATCTTCACTCTCCCCTGCACCCCCCGGTCTGCACCAACTCATAGCTCAACAGCTATTTTGAGAAAGTCTTTATAATAAATACACCAAGTGAATCATTCTCTCAGGAAGAAAGCATCACTTGAAGTTTGCTATTCAACTCTTTTAGATTGTTAACATGGAAACTACTTAAGCAAAACAAAACAAGTTTCAGATGAAAAAGGCCCTTTGTACCTTTTTTTTCTGCTCGCTCCAGTTAAGTTCTTTCCCCATTATATCTACGATTCTTGGCAGGGCTTCCTCTGCAGCCTGCACATTCAGAAAGGCCAAGCGAGTACGTCGGGAAATCATATCCACTGCCGTGCGAGCGTACTCCTTAATGCCATAGACAACCTGGAACAATGGGACCAGGGGAAACATGCAGATGAGGAGGCAGACAGGCATTGTTGGAAATGATGTTTAGCATCACAAACCGCTCTGCTGGGCTGGCTATGCAGAATGAACTTGCTGTAACTGAGAGAAAGGTTTGAAAAGCTCCCTTTTCCTTGGAACAATTTTATAAAATGCATCTGGGACCAAACGTGTATATATGAAATAAAAAATAGATGTGATATAATTATAAATATTTAATTATATAGAAGTATGTTAATATGTGTATATATATTAAAATATATAAATTATATAA